GCCGGCACCCCCCGCCACCCCACGGGGGGACCAGCTGAGAGCTGGGGCACGCGTGCCGGGTGCCAGGCCACTGTCCCCAAGGGCCTGTAGCGATCTGAGGTGCCGGTAGAGATTTTGTGCCCGTGGGGCCGAGCAGAACGGATGTTCCTTGTTATGGTTATTTTTTTGCTCTGAGTTGCTCGGATGGGATATTTATAACACTAGCAAAAAAGGGCCCTTTTTTCTCTAAAATTGATGTGGAATCCCATAGCTCTGTGTCTTCTCCTCCTCCATGGGTTGTTTGTTGTTTTTTTTTTTTAAACTACATCTCTACAAAGGATACGTGTCCGGTGGCGGAGCTTGATGGCACGGCCTCCGTCCTGAGAAACGCAAACTGTCCGCGTGTTTAGCTTCCCAAGGGTCAATGTCTGCCAGGAATGGGGTGTGCGGTGAGCCGCCCCAGCCCCCCAGCTCCTAAACCTTTCCTTCCCTCCTGCAGGCTGCCCTACGAGGTGGACCCCATCACGGTCTTCGCCTCCTTGTCACCGGAGGGGCTGCTGATCATCGAGGCACCCCAGATCCCCCCCTACCAGCAGTACAGCGAGGGTGGCTGCGGCAGCAAGATCCCCGTTGAGAGCCAGGAGGCCACCTGCGCCTGACCGGCCACCCGCCTCCCTCCCGCATCCCGGCGTCCCTCCTTGGCCCCCTGCTCCCCGGTCCCCTGCGGGGTGGCATCCAGACAGCCTCCAGCAAGGGTGACGGGTGCTGCTCGCAGGGACGGCAGCACCTGCCACCCCACGGGGGGACCAGCTGAGAGCTGGGGCACGCGTGCCGGGTGCCAGGCCACTGTCCCCAAGGGCCTGTAGCGATCTGAGGTGCCGGTAGAGATTTTGTGCCCATGGGGCCGAGCAGAACGGATGTTCTTTGTTATGGTTATTTTTTTGCTCTGAGTCGCTCGGATGGGATATTTATAACACTAGCAAAAAAGGGCCCTTTTTTCTCTAAAATTGATGTGGAATCCCATAGCTCTGTGTCTTCTCCTCCTCCATGGGTTGTTTGTTGTTTTTTTTTTTTAAACTACATCTCTACAAAGGATACGTGTCCGGTGGCGGAGCTTGATGGCACGGCCTCCGTCCTGAGAAACGCAAACTGTCCGTGTGTTTAGAACGTTGGTTTGGGGGTTTTCTTTTTTTTTTTTCTTTTTTTCCAAAGAGAATTTGTGCTTTTACTCGTCACACCTGAGGAATAAAACCCAGTTGATGTTCTTAGCCTCTGCTTGTCTTGGCTGAGCCCGGTGGGTTGGGCGCAGGGCTGCGGGAGGGTGGCGGAGAGGAGGTGGGATGCCACCCTGTGCCACCTCCTAGCCCAGCACAGGGTCCTCCCCATGGGGGGAAGGAGAGGAGAGAGCTGTGGGGATGTTTGCACTGATGGGCAGCTGGGGCATTTGCTTTTTTTTCCGAGCCCTGACTAACACTGTTCCAGGGACGCACCAAGCCCCGCAAGGACCACGGGCTCATCCCTCCCTTACCTTCATGAGGGGTTGCAAATGTTTTTCCTACTTGGGGACGCTAAATCAGCCTCTGAGCTGGGAAAGTTGGGTTTGCACCATCCCCATTTCCATCTCACCCTGCCAGCTCCCCACCAGCAGCTCCGCGGGGAAGCCCTTCCTAGCTAATTCCCCGGCGGAGGCACCGGCAAGGGGTTTCTGCTGGGCCCTGGACACAGCCTTAAAACCATTCCCAGGGGCAAAGCACCGGGTGAGATTTGTTAACACACTGCAATGCCTGAGGTGGGCAAAGCAGAGGTGCTGATGGGTGGCAGGAGTTTTTCCATCGATCTGTGTGGCACCTGGACAGGGCAGCTGGTTTTCCATGTCACCAGGACCTTGGAGTTAAAAATACAACCTCACATGCTCGCCTCCAGCTCATTCGGGATGTGGTTACCAACAACAACCCATCACATGCTGTAAACCCCAGCCCCAGCGCGCGGGGGCCACGGTGGTACCGGCATGCCAGGTCACAGAGGAGAATCTGGGGGCTCTCACCCCAGTTTTATATATTATATTTAATTTTCAGCTGTTATTAGGGAGCCTGGACCCCCAGGCAGTGCACAACACCCCCACGCCTGTCAGCAGGAGCCAACCCCAGGCTCAGCCACGACAGCTCTGCCAGGCGCGGCTGTGAGCACAACACTTTTTATGAATAAAATATAATCCTCGAGATGTAATACCGACACCAGGACGGAAAGCAAAAAACTCATGAGTCACAGCTCCAGCCCTGTGTCCTCGTGCCACTTGGAGCCGTCATGCCCCATGGGTGACACCTCTCCAGCATAAACTGCCCCTCCTCTTCCTCACCCCTTCAAAGAATTGTTTTTTTCAGTCTTTTGAAAAAATATTCCCAGCCCCCCAGGCCCTGCCCCAATTTTGTCCCCGGCGCCCCATCCCCTTCATGCACTTTTCATGGGAAGGACACCAGGGGAAGCACATGTGTCCCTGGAGTGACCCTCAGGCTCCAGCACCCCAGAGCGAGCAGCTGGATGCGGCCCCGCACCCCACGCGTGGCAAGCGACGGCCACCACAACAGGACTGCGGGCACCGGGGAGCAGCTGCAGCTGGGCAAGGGGCTGCGGAGGGGGATTAGCCACAGCTGAGCCCCTCTCCCAGCCCGGGGTATTTGGGAAGGTCCCCAGGCTGCAGCTGCACCCTTGCTGGGGCAAAGGGAGCTCTGGGCTCAACTTTGGGGCTGCAGCACAGGTAAGGGCTGCTGGGGGCAGATGATGGCTCCCAGCTTTCTCTCCTGCTGATCCTGCAGTTTGGGGGAAGACTTTTTTTTCTTTTCTTTAATGACTTCCTGGTTTATTTGGTTCAGCTTTCTGATGAACTCCTTAATAATGCCTTATAAAGATGGTTGTGAGATGCATTAGCAATAATTTCTTAATGGCTGAGGCTGGCGTTGGCGCTGAGCACTAAGGACCCCTTACACAGGCAGCGTGCTTGGACCTGCGCAGCCAGCAGCTTCTCAGGCTGCTGGGTTCTCCAGAGTATTGTATGCTCATGAAATAATTGTAAGTGGAGATTTTTTTTTATTTTTTTTTTTTAAGTATGGCTTGATTGTTGAAGTGAAGGAGGTTTTATAAAAATAAATTCCTCCTGGTGTTTCTGCAAATGGAAGAATAAATTTGGAAACACTGGGGCATTTCTGCATCGGTGTCTCCCCCTGTATCTGGGGTGGGAAATGTGCATTTTTGGGGTATCAGGGTGCCACAGGGCTGGGGCCAGCGGGGAGCGGGAGCTGTTTGCTCGTCCTCAGCCTGCGCATGAGAGCGGCTTTAAGGCCTTAGCCCCCGCAAGGCGGGGGCTCACGGG